AAGACGTAAAGACTTATCTGATTAGCTTATGTAAGATGGCTGCCACATGTCAGTTTGGAGACTACTTACAGACCTCTCTCCATGACATGTTTGTTATGGGGCTCAATGACCCCGCCATACAGAAACACTTACTCACAGTACCTGATTTGACAATAAAAATAAGCTACTAAACTTGCCAGTGTTATGGAATTAGCCTCCAAAGATGCTACACTATTTTAAGCGTACCATGAAAACCCTGTGAGCCAGGGAGAAGACATTTTTAGTAATTCTGTTACTGAAAACATACCAGACAGCCATTTCCAAGTAATCCTAAACCATGTTTAAGTAATTCCTCTGTCTCTGCTACACAAACATGCTACCGTTGTGGTGAAACTAGTCATAAATCACCTGTTTGCAAATTCAAAGATGCAGTTGGTTCCTTTGTTGCAAGACTGGTCATGTTAAATCTGTTTGCCGCAGCTCACGCTCCTCTATTACTGAGCTAACAGACATTTCATGTAGATTCTGGTAGCAAAAACTCCAGTATTTCATCTCTCCATGCATGTTGATACAGGGGCAGTGGTTTCTTTTATTTCATGGACTGATTTGAAGGCTTTAGGCCTGTCACTATTACTAAGACCTACAAATCTAAAATTACAAACTTACAACAAGGAGCTATTGGAACCCATGGGTTACGTGCAACCTTTTGTCACCTTTGAAAATGTAGTTAATCTTTATGCCTTTATGTGATACTTAGGAAGTCCCCACTATGTGACAGAGACTGGATTAAAGCCCTGGGCATGCTTCCCCTTGCTATTGCCCTGTGTACATTGCTTTCTGAGTTGGACTCCTGGGTGGAGTCTTTGAAGTCACGATTTAAAGAAGATTTTGAAGACTCTCTGGGTACAGTAAGAGGAAAACTAGTCCAACTCCAATTTAAACTGGGTGACCGCCTTTGTTTTTGTATAGCTAGATCAGTAGCATTTGCTTTGCGAAGGACCACCTATTAGCCCAAAAGATCATAACAATAGTTGAAAGGAGTGAAGTAACTAATTATGTCAGGATTTGTGGGGATTTCAGGATGGCTTTAAATAACCAGATTCTTGTAGATCAAAACCCATTGCCTCGATTTGAAGATCTTTTTAGTTCCTTAGCTGGAGGCCAAAAGTTTACAAAAATAGACTTAAAGCAAGCTTACCTACAACTGAAAGTAAGTCAAAAGGTGAAAAGGTACCAAATAACTTTTTCTCCTTAGTGGGGGTAAGCACAGAGAAAAGAAGAGGAGCGAGAGAAACACGATTCGGGTTTCCTACTGGTAACGGGAAACGTATGTATTAAAACGTAACTTTTATTAGGATAATAAAGAAACAAGGTGAGAAACACCACCTAAAACACATGTATTAAAAATAAGTGTACTAATAAAAATAACACCTGTCTGAGACTAACACCAAGATAGCCAACATAGTATGGGTATTATAGTGTGTGTGGTAGCTACAGTTTCAGATAATATCTAGGAAAAAGAATGCCCACTTCTATTAGGTGAAAAAAAGTCTCAGGAGGGTAGGGTCAGCACATATCTGAAACTTGCAATGAGTAGAAGCACATTCTGGTGTGAGGATTATTGTCTAAACTGTGCTTAGAGACCACGGTTCAAGATTATTGTTAAGTAGGGGATATTCCCTTTGTAAAGTTTGAAGAGAAGGATTGTAAACTGCTGTCTTCTGTAAGGAATCACAACAAGGTAGAATGAGCACTCATTGGAAACTTACAGCAAGTAAAGGTACTATCTGATGTGGCAATTGTCTGTGCACAACATGGAAGTACCAATACAGATATAACATAGAGAGGGGAATAGCCCTCTACGAAAAAAGAAAAATCTCAGCACGGTGAAAATACATGTATCATGGATCTCTAACAGGAACCCGTAATGCTCATCTGATAGTGTCTAAGGAGTGCAGGATATGCACAAGGGATAATGCTAGTCAAATAGCGGAGGTAAAAATATAAGGAAATGAATATACAGGATTTTTTTCTTTATTAGACTTATACCTAGGAAGGCTGTCATACCTACGTTATAGAGGTTGCACTTTATGTTCTTGTATGTACCCTATTTAATTTCCCATTACCAGTAGGGAACCCCACTCCCTAGGATACTCTATCTGAATCATGTTTCTCCTGCTCTTCCTCTTTTCTTTGTACAATTGAAAGTACACCCAGCATCATGCCATTTATTGACAAATAATACTCATAAATAATTATTCCAATATACCCACATGGTTTTTGGTATGGCCCCAGCGATCTGGCAGCGTATCATGGATGAAGTCCTATCAGGAATACCTTACACTTAATGTCTACTAGATGACATGCTCATTACTGAAGAACACATGAAGAATGTGGTATCTGTGCTGGAGAGGCTCCAAACTTGGGGAGAGACAATTGGAATTTTGTGCCCATACTGTAGATTGAAGTGGGTTGCATACTACCAAAGAAAACGTGCCTTACTTATGCCCCAACTCCTCAAAATGTAACACAGCTCAGGTCTTATCTTGGCTTCTTAAATTACTAACAACGTTTCTCACCAAACTATATCCACTATATCGATTATTAGAAAGAAGGGCGAAATGGATATGGACAGTCAAGTATTCTAAGGAGCTGATTCTGTCTTCTCAGGTTCTGGTCAACTATGACCTAATGAAACCAGGTACATTAGCATGTGATGCCTGGCCGTATGGGCAAGGAGCTGTGCTTTCACATATCATGCTGGTTGGCACAGAGTGGCCCATTTCTTTTGCTTCCAGGTCTTAACTTCAACAGAACAAAACTACTCACATATAGATTAGGAGGCATTAGCCATTGTGTGGGCCACCAAGAAATTTCATGCCTACATCTATGGTCGTTATTTCACACTAATCACTGATCCCATACCTCTGCTGTCAATTCTCAACCCTCAAAAAGGGATATCTACAACAACTGGATCTCACTTACAAAGATACGCTTTATTCTTGGGAGCTTATAATTATTTCACCAGACATCGCTCACATGATGCTCATGGTAAGGCAGATGCATTCTCCATATTACCAATTGCGGAACACCAGCTAAGAGTCATACGCATAGTTGAAATACAAAGGCCGAAGACTATCATATCTACTACATTGATAGCCAGAAACACAGTAACGGACCCATGCCTATCTCAGATTTTCCCAAATGTTAAGGCTGGATTGCCAGAAATAGTACCATGTGAATTTCAACCATACTTCATAAGAAAATGTGAGCTTGTTAAAAATGTTGGATGCCTACAATGGGGCAATAGAGTACTCATACCCCAGAATCTTCAACCTACAATGCTAAAGATCCTGCATAAGGACCACCCAGGTATTGTATGCATGAAGCAGCGAGCCAAAGGCTATGTTTGGTGGCAATAAATGAATAAAGCAATTCGGGATTATGTAGCTTGATGTCCAAAAGAAGCATAGTAGTCAACCTTGGTCATGGCTGACAGACCCATGGTCAAGACTCCATCTAGATTTTGCAGAGCCAATCAAAAGTAAAATTTACTTAATCATAGTGGATGCACATTCAAAATGGCCTTACGTTTTCCAAATGCCTTCTATCACCTCTAATGCATCCATTTTGATCTTAAGGAAGCTTTTTTCCCAATATGGATTGCCTGTAGCCATAGTCACAGACAATGGGTCACAATTTACGTCACCTGAATTTCAATCATTCCTCAGCTCTGGAACATCACCCACTACAAAGCAGCTCCATATCATCCATCCTTGAATGACCTAGCAGAATGGTTTGTTCAGACTTTTAAGAAGCACCTACTATGAACCAGAATGGAAAATATGAAGAGATGCTGCTGTAATTCTTGACCACATACCGAAACACTCCACACTCACCTACTGGGGTGGCACTGGCTTTGCTCATGTTAAGACGGCATCACCGGACCAAACTTGATTTTGTTTGTCCAGAAAAACATTTAACAACATATCATTCACTGTTTTGCCCCGGATTTAAAATTAGTGGTCCTGTATGGATTTGGAATTACCTAAGATGGCCTCATTGACTTTCTGGAAACATAGTTAGCCTCACTAACAGCACTTGTATTCACCAACACAAACTTTCACCAAAGACCAGTAACTCAAACAATCAATTCAACTAACCACAAGTTTCCACGCCAGACTCTGCCTGTGACATATGGCATTGTGTATGGCATGATACCTCAAGTCTGCATACAAACCATGATGTTGTTAGCGACCATATTCATGAGGAATCTGGAAATTTGCCTGACGCTATAGAAACTGATACATCCATTGGAACAACACTTACTACTCCAATGACATTGAGAAATAACAGTGCTGTACAACTTCGTATGTCTACTCATCATAGACATCAGGCTAATTTTTGGCAAAGCAATTAAACCTTACAGAATACATCTGATATTCAACGGCAGAGTCAAAAAGTTTGTTAAGTGTTAAGGGAGACACCGAAAGGTCCTGAAGATACGACCCTGCTGGACTGATTCTGTTTCCAGTCTTATACTATATGTATTCAGTTCCTTGTTTTCTCTTACTTGTGTTAGCTTGTTTGCTTTTTCTTTTTCTTTTGTTTGCTTGTAATTTTATTTATTAATATTATTATTATATGTTTTTATTTTTTTTTAATTCTTTATTTTTCATGCCAGAGTAATACAACATTGATATCGGTTATGTCACCGTAGTAAGATGCAGTTTTGCAGTTTAGCTTTTCACGTGACATGATGAAATGGCATACATTTTTAACATTAAACATGTCTGAACAACGTATATTAGGAGGGGGTTAGTCAGCTGCAGGGATAGGGCTTGATGTGACTTGGTAAGCTGTGTGTACCTGGGAGAGGTCAGCATGGATGTCCACAATGTCCTCGTCAGTGGCCCGCACTCTGTCAGTTGTGTTTTGCATATATGCGAGCACCTTGTGGAAGTCGTGCAGCAAGAACTTCAGGTCGCGTTTAGTTGTGGAACCGGAGTCCTCAGCGGTCTCTACGGGTGTTTGAAGTGTGGGGAGTGCTCAGGTGCTGCGGCCGGTGGGGCAGCGGGGGTGCTCTCCGCGGGCGCCATCTTGGGCTGTGCTTGTTTCTGGAGAAGGGCTCCGATATCTTGGTGAGCGGACGAAGAGTTCTGCTTTTGGGATCGCCTTCCCATGGCAGCCATCTGGGCCTCCGGTTCGGGTTCTGGCATTGGTTCAGGCAGGTTAGCAGGGTCCCAGGTATCATACACTCCGCTGAGGAGGGTCCCCCAGTCCGGCGTCTCTCGTGTGGTGTAGGCCCAAGGCCTGCGTTTCCGACTGGGTGCATTTTTGAGGAGAAAGAAGGGCAACAATCGGTGCAGGTGTAGATCCTGCGTCTTTTGCAGGGTGTTGGGCTGACCGATTGCGTGAGTGTGCTGGGATATTGGTAAGATTGTCATCGGCCAGCCGGAGCTGTCTAGGTTTACGTCCGTGCAGCTCTGGTGCTAGCTCCGCCCCCCATTTTAATTTTTTTAAGGGAAGGAGATAAGGTTTAGACAGACTCACTGTCTGTCTGAGTTTTCCCAGATTGGGAGTCGCATAATGTCCCTCCCCTTTTTCATGCTGCAGTGCATGCTGGGAGTAGGAGGATGTACTGGTTATCAGGAAGCAGCAGCCAACTTGTTGGTTAACTGAATCCAATCAACTTGGGAAGACACTGAGGCAATGGTTATAGGTTAGTAAACTGTATAGTGTATATAGTAAGAAAGCCTTCTGTTTACTCATCCTGTGTACAGTAAGTAATACACAACCTCTGGATTGAGACCTCATGTCTGTGTGTATAATTTATTGAGTAAACACTCACAGCATTATATTCACTAATTAAGCACCAGTCCACACTTTCAAACAGAACTCCATGCTGTTACATTAACTGCTGCTAGTTAACATGTATGTTGTTTTAATATTTTCAAGGTAGTGTCTTTTTTTAAAACTTTTTTTTCATTTTCAATGTTTTCTATAGTGGTATATTTATTATGTGCTTATTTACTATTAAAAAAAGACAATTATATAAAAAACCTTTTTTTATTGGACTAACAGAATTTTTTTAATTTAAATTTTAAATACATATATAATAACCTTACAATGCATTAGACCACAGAGCCTTTGCATTCTTTCAGTAATACTTTGTTTTTCTCCTGATGGAGTATTTTTTGATATTCTTTTAATCTATTTTTTTTATTCTCTACTAACAAATTATTTTAATGTGATTAGATTTGTGACTATCCCCAGCTCACGACATGAAGAAAAATAGTCCATTAGCTGGCCCCACTTTCAGAGTTTGTGTTGCCTATTAAGCTGGGACGGTCACTGGACCTTCTCCTATTGATATGTGTTATCCTTTTTTATTATTTTTACAATGTGACATGTGGGTGGGCCCTTTTTGTAGTAGTGCCTATCAGTGAACATTGTCTTTGAAGGATACCTTCAACTTACAATATCTGCTTTCAATTAGTAAAGTGGCGCTGTCACTTTGCAGTTTTTGTTTTTAGATTCATCCTTTCTCGTCCTTCAATTTCCCTTGTTTTTATTCTGAAATTCAAGTTAGTTCTTTTTTTCTTTATGTTATGCAGAAAAAAAGGACTACTTTTCATTAAACAATATATGATAAGCACCATAACGATAATGTTATAAGCTACTTATGCTTTTCTGACTTGCTGATATACTTTAATGACAGAGATATTCATTATTAGCCAAACTTACTAAGTAACTAGATGGAATATCAGCACTTTATGCTATAGAGGGCAATGATTCCAGCAGGGACCTACCAACTACTGGGTATTTTTAATGATGATAGTTAAGATAGAGGCACTGAATCTTAGTTAGCCTGTGGCACCAAAGACCTTTGTGTGAACTATGGAGGAGTTATATTAGTAATAGTGTTCAAAATGAAATTCTCTTCTTGCAACACTATATTACTTAAATATAGTTAAAAAGAAAAGTTTGTGAATTAAAAATTGTGAAAATAGAATCCTATATGTAATAAATATTCTGGCAGTCTAACTTAAGTAAATGTATCTAGTTAATAGACTTTGAATACAGGAAGAGTTCAGTTGCACCGAAAATATTTGGTCGACCAAATTTCACTGACTGTGGTTCAACTCATTTAAATATTGTCCATATTGGTCGGCTTGTCCAAATATTGCATCATGAAGCAAATCCATAATATGTCAACATGATCCTTTTGAGTTACAGAATTTGTACAACCCACCGATAATTTGGACTAATTACAATTCATTTTAAACTTATGTAAATGGGTTATTAACTAAAGTGATAATTCAAAGTGAATTTAAAGTTAAAGGCCAAAACAGCCAAACTGAAAGCGTATCTGACTTAGAGAATCTCTCCAGTTAGGCTATATTGAATTTAAATTTGATATTTACTTTGAATTCACTCTCTTGTAAATAACCTTGTTAGTGAGGAATTCCATGTGATATGAAATTATTTTTTTTTTTTTTCACAGTTGGTAGGTATTTATTATGTTTGTTTTAAAGTGTACTAGGCCTAACACAATGTTTTTTCCTCTCCATGAATCAACTCAACAGACCACTTCTTGACACAAGAATAAAAAATACTAAAATAATGAAGTACCCTCTCTCTGTTTTAAATGAGAACAGTCTTACAAACATCCACATCTCGATTTATTTTTATACAAAAAATAACAACATGCATGCTGTAAAATGGGCTATCATTTCTGGATAAAAAGGACATAGAGTAGCCAATAGATCTATTTCATTTTGTCCATCATTTCTTCTCTCTGTTTTCTGAATTTTTCTCGTTGATCTTCAAATTCATTTTTCATTTCCTGCTCTGGGGGAAATATTTGTCTCTTATGCTTCACAACATACTTTTCAAAATACTCTGCCTTGCTAGAGATCCAAAACATGGAGACTGGAAAGGAACAATACAGAGCCATCCTGAAAACCTCCTGCTTCACCCCCATATTCAACACAACTAATATAAAATTATTATTATAACCATGCAAATCTGGTTTAACTGGACTCATTAATGCACTTACTGGCCATTTCTGACAGAAACTGCTAGAAATAGGGAGAATGGAAATTAAATTAATGTATATTCAACAAGGTTTAGAAACGTAAAATAATATGTAAATTCATAGAATAGCTGTCAGTTACCTTAGATGCATGGTGCCTTAGAGGCATGTGATTAAATAATCAATCTGTTTGAAAAAAAAAAATTATTACAAAAGATAACTATGAAAATTTCATTAGAAAGAGCAACTACAGTGGAGCTTGAAATTAAAGATACAGACATATTAATTAATCACAATACTGAATCCATATATAAAACATTACACACAATTCCAATAATTCAAAAAATTTAATTGTGCAGTATCCCAATACTGCTATATGTCTGGGTATATCGTTTAATATTACCTTAGATTGTTTGACTGTTATACAACCATGCAGAACAATCATTTTATCTAAAGACTGCAATAAAATGGCTGCCTTTTTGTTTTACCTATAATATGCAAAGGAGTACTTAATTTTTTTCTTTCTTTCTTTGAGTTTTGCTTTCCTTAGGCCTGTTGAATCTTAACCCAATAAGGAGCATATGATGTTTATGCAGGCATACAATGCATGCATGCATTAAAAACTCCCACAGGAATATTAGATATTAGTAAATACTTGAGGGTCCCCTCTGTCAGCTGGAACCAAAGATAGTGCCCCAAGACTGACAGATGAGCTATGTGAAGCACTCTTACAGAGGGGATAGATTAGGGACAGGATTAGTGGTTGGATTAGGGGTTGAGTTAGGAGATGGCTAAAGTATTGGGATATGTGTGGTCTGTGAATTTTTCCAAAAATAAAATCTGTGAAAACCCCAACAAAGAATTTAATATTTTCACCTTGGTTCGTGATAAAATGGTTAAATGAAAAGTGTTAAAATACTTTTGTTTAAACCCTTAAGGACCAAACTTCTGGAATAAAATGTCATGTGTCCTTAAGGGGTAATTAAATAGCCTGGAGGATGTACGTTCTACAAATATAAAATTGTGTAGCGATTTTGTATTCTGTGACTACTATAAATTGTAAGTTGTAATCTCAGCATGCCAAATTTTACAATGTTTTATCTTTAAAACCGTAATTCACTACTTGCAATATTTGTTTTAGAACTTCTAAAAATTAACTGAAATCCAAGACATGCCGGGCATTTTAACAATTAGGACTAATTAGTGAATCTATTTTGTCGCACTTGGTGTGTAGAGATTATTAAATGTAAACCTGAGAATTCGCTCATTCATGATTGACAGTGGAACACTGACAACTGCTGGTAAGTACACAGAATTTACTTTCTGTGTGTTTTATATACTCACAGCAGCTGTCTTGTTTTTCTGTCAATTTTAAACCTGTTATTGTTGTAAATTGTGAAGTAGTAGGACTCTGCCAGTGTGCATTAGTTGTAGTCACCTGCTACCAAAGTGTAGAGTGTGTAGTGTAGTATTATGAGCAGGGCCGCCATCAGAAATTTTGGGGCCCCTGACAAAGCACAAGGTTTGCCCCCCCCCCCCTTCCCTCCCTCCCTCCCGGGCCCGCACACGCTCTACCTGGTCCGCTGACAATGATGCAGGACTGAATGTGGTGTGTATAGTGGAAGTGAATTAGAATGTGTGTAATGGATGTAGTGTTTGCGTGTATTAGATATTGTTTGTACAGTGAATGCAGAGTGTGTGTTTGTGTAGCAGATGCATTGTGTGTTCAGTTAATGCAGAGTGTGTGTCAGTATAGTGAATCCATAGTGTATGCATAGTTTAGTGAATGCAGAGTGTGTGTTAGTGTGTAGTGAATGCAGAGTGTGTCAGTGTAATGAATGTAGTGTGTGTGTTAATGCAGTGAATGCAGAGTGTGTGTAAATTTGTAGTGAATGCAGAGTGTGTGTTAATGTGTAGTGAATGCAGAGTGTGTGTTAATGTGTAGTGAATGCAGAGTGTGTGTTAGTGTAGTGAATGCAGAATGTGTTAATGTGTAGTGAATGCAGAATGTGTTAATGTGTAGTGAATGCAGAGAGTGTGTTAGTGTGTAGCGGATGCAGAGTGTGTGTTAGTGTAGTGAATGCAGAGAGTGTGTTAATGTGTAGTGAATGCAGAGAGTGTGTTAGTGTGTAGCGGATGCAGAGTGTGTGTGTTAGTGTAGTGAATGCAGAGTGTGTTAATGTGTAGTGAATGCAGAGAGTGGGTTAGTGTGTAGCAGATGCAGAGTGTGTGTTAGTGTAGTGAATGCAGAGTGTGTGTTAGTGTGTAGCGGATGCAGAGTGTGTGTTAGTGTAGTGAATGCAGAGTGTGTTAATGTGTAGCGAATGTAGAGTGTGTGTCAGTATAGTGGATGCAGAGTGTGTGTCAGTATAGTGGATGCAGAGTGTGTGTTAGTGTGTAGCGGATGCA